GTACTCTTAAAATGGTAGTGTGGTGGTTTGAATGAAAATGGCCCTCATCGGCACAGGGAGTGGTGGCACTATTAGGAGGTGTGGCCTTGTTGGAGCAGGTGTTGTGTTGTTGGAGGAAATGTGTCCCTGGGAGCGGGCTTTGAGGGCTCAGAAGCTGAAGTCAGGCCTGGTGTGTCTCATGTACTTCCTGCTGCCTATGGATCCAGATGGAGAACTCTCAGCGCCTCTCCAACATATCTGCCTGCATGCCGCCATGCTTCCCGCCATGACAACAATGGGCTGAACCTCTGAAACTGTAAGCCAGCCCCAGTTAAATGTTTTCCTTTGCAAGAGTTGCTGTGGTCAGTTGGTGGTGGTGGCACACACCGGTGGATCTCTGTGAGTTTGAAGCCAGCCTGGTCTACAAAGTGAGTTCCAGGACAGCCAGAGGTGTTACACAGAGAAACCCTGTCTTGGGGGAAAAAAGTTGCTGTGGTCACGGTGTCCCCTCACACATAGTCACAATAGGACACTGACTAAGTAAGACAGGTGGGTTTTGCTCTGTTTCACAAGGTAACCTTGGCTGGCCCGGAACTCACAGAGATCCTCCTGTCTTTGCTTCCCGGGTACTGGGAATAAAAGTATGTGCCAAACTGGGTGGTGGTGGCGCACGCCCTTAATCCCAGCTCTCAGGAGGCTGAGGCAGGTGGATCTCTGTGAGTCTGAGGCCAACCTGGTCTACAGAGTAAGTTCCAGGACAGGCTCCAAAGCTGCAGAGAAACCCTGTCTCGAAAGAGAAAAATAAATAAGAAAATAAATAAATGAATGAAGTGTTCCCACCATGCCCAGACCCCTCCCCCAAAAAGTGGCTTTGTAATAGGTAAATTATGTAATTAAAAATATATTAGTGGGACTGGAGAGATGGTTACACACCACACACACTCTTACAAAACGGCTGCAGACTGAAGTATCCCTGGGGCTTGTCATGCAGAACTTGAGCTCTTGATCCTCCTGCCTCAGCTCAGCTCCCCAAGTGCAGAGGTGATGGGCATGCACGACCATGCCTAGCCAGATCCCTTTATTTCTGAAACTTCTTTGTTCTCCGATCTCCAGCCCTAGGTTCTACTTTGGCAGTCTCAGACTGTGTTCGTTATTTTGGGTCACTGTGATAAAGCACCTGAGTAGGAAAAATGAAACCTTAAAGGAGCCACCACGATGGCTCAGCGGCTCAACACCGGTCACCAAGCCTGAAGAACTGAGCTCGGTCCCCTGGACCCACATAGCGGAGGGAGAAAATGAACTCCCAAAAATTGTCCTCCGCAAGTGCATGTGCCTACATACATGCACACACACACACGCTTAAACTTAAAGCAGACTCAAGGAAGAAGGATCTCCTTTGTCTCATGATTTTGATCATGAGTGGCTGCCCCCACTCTCCTGGGCCTGTAGTGCTGCAGAGTATCATGGCCAAACAGTGTGGGGGAGATGCAACTCAGCAGTGGTTAGGCCTCTAGAGCAGAAACCTGTGGAAATTCTGTCCCCTCAGGCACCGACTCTTTTAAAGCTACAAAGGGAGCTTATCTAAATCTCCGTCCCTCTGAAGAACTCAAGGTTCAAAGGTAGAGGTAGAATCCTGCTCCTCAGACAGGCTGAATAGCAAGTAAGTAGCTCCCTCCTCTCCTTGCAGCTCTCCAGAAGCCCCGCCCCCTCCCCTCGCCCCCTCCTTAAAATCTTTCTCCACCAGGCTCCTCCCCGGCAGCTAGTTGCTGACGCAACCTCCTGACCACAAAATAATTTTATTTAATCAAATAATCTTTGCATCACTAAACAAGTGTTCCAGAGCATTAACAAAAGTAACACACCTTAAAATAATATCCTACATAAGGAACAGTGGTACATGCCTAGAAGCCCAGGACTCTGGAGGCGGAAGCGAAAGGATCTCTGTGAGCTCAAAGACAGCCTGAGCTGTGAGTTCGAGAACAGGGTGGGTTACAGAGCGAGACCATTGTCACAAAACAGGGAACTGAGAGATGGCTCAATGGATAAAAGATATTCCTGACCACTCCTGCAAAGTCCTCTGACCTCCACACATGTGCTGAAACACAGACACACATGCGCGCGCACACACACACCACACACACACAACTGAAAGACTTTGAGACACCTTAGCACTACTGCACCCCCCATCCTGGGAACCAGGCCTCTAGCATTAGGAGGCACCTTAGCACTACTGCACCCCCCTTCCTGGGAACCAGGTCCCTAGTAACCAGCCACGCGTGCACGGGAGCTTTGAGTACTTTCCATCCCCATTGTAGTCTTTCTCCAATAGACCCGGACCCTGGAACTGGGGTGAGACGACCTGCAGGTGTTCCTCCTTGTAACCGCCATAACATTGATCAAGTAGAGTTAGCTGACCATTGTATGAACTAGTCAAAACAGTTGACAAATGATTTTTGGACTTTCCCTTTGATTCTGTACTACCCCCTCCCTGAATTTGTGGTTTTTTCCTTTAAAAGAGCTTGTAATAGACAAAGCAGGGTCCTTCTCCTCTCGAGGCTGAGGGACCTCTGCCGTGGCAGAATAAAAATTCCTCTTGCTATTGCATCAACCGTGCTGTGAGTGTCTCTTGGGGCGACCTCCTCCTTGGTGGGGCTTTAGGGCCCAACATTTGGTGCGTTGGCCGGGAAGTGCTGGTCGCCCTCAGACCCATTCCTGACCCGGTTGGAGGTAAGAGCGCGCTTGTCTGAATGTTTTATGTTCGTCTATTTCTGTTATTGTGCCTTATGTTTATGATCATCAGGGATTTGGAGGAACATTGTACCTGCGCAGGGCTAGTATTTGAAAGGGACCAGGCAGTGGGACAGACGTGTCCGGGAACACTCCCTGGCCCAGCCGTGGAGGACGCTTCACAGGCAATTTGTGAAACTAGGAGCGACCAGGTCATCTTAGTTTCTAGAGAGTGTGGTTCTTATCGCCCACTCCCTTCCAGGTTTGTAATATCAGTTTTACATCAGTCTGTTGCCGCGCGGCTCTCGGTCTTGAGTCTGTGTCTGTCATTTTGTATTGTTGTTTTTGTCTTTGTGTTTGTTTTTGAGTTGGAATCTAGTACAATGGGACAACAAATAACCACCCCCTTAACTTTGACTTTAGACCACTGGAAAGAGGTTGAGGACAGAGCTCACAACCAGTCTATGGTAATCCGAAAGAAACGCTGGCAAGCGTTCTGTTCCGTGGAATGGCCCACTTTCGGAGTGGGCTGGCCACAGGACGGAACATTTAATCTGAATATTATTTTGCAGGTTAAGACAAGAGTCTTTCAGCCTGGCCAGCAGGGCCATCCTGATCAAGTTCCTTACATCGTAACTTGGGAGAGCTTGTCCAGAGACCCTCCGCCCTGGGTCAAACCATTTGTCCTGCCTGCGGGAGCCGGAAACCCAGTACCAGCTCCCTGGCCCTCCACCACCCCTTTGACTCCGAGGGCGGCAGCAACCCCAACTGCCCCTCCCCTGGACCCGTTGTCCTCTCTCTTCCCCATGCAGGAGCGACCGAAACAGAAGTCCCAGACCCAGACACCACCAATCCTCTCTGACAATCAGTCAGACCTCCTGCTTTTTGACCCTCCTCCTCCTTATCCCCGGCCTCTTCTGCCCCAGGCCGAGGCAGCCCCCCTCGCGCCTGTTCCTGGGGAACCTGCTGAACCTGATATAGACCCTGACAGGCCCCCTAGCCCTGACACGACTGATACTGCTGAGGGGGGGCCTAACTCGCAGCCAGCAGGCCGGCTGCGGCTCCGCAGAGGGACATCTGCAAGGGAAAGGTGGACTTCCCAGGCACTACCCCTCCGCTCAATGGCTGACCAATTTCAATACTGGCCTTTTTCAGCCTCTGATCTTTATAACTGGAAACTTCATAACCCCTCCTTTTCCCAGGACCCCCAGGCCCTTACTGCCCTTATAGAATCTGTTCTGATTACTCACCAGCCCACTTGGGATGATTGCCAACAGCTTTTGCAGATACTTCTCACTACAGAGGAGAAACAGCGTGTTTTCCTTGAAGCTCGGAAGAATGTCCTGGGAGCTGACGGAAGGCCAACCCAGTTGCCAAATGAGATAGAGGATGCCTTCCCTTTGACCCGACCCAATTGGGACTTCAATACTCCAGCTGGTAGGGAGCGACTTCGTCTCTACCGTCAGATTCTGTTAGCGGGTCTCCAAGGGGCTGGCAGACGGCCCACTAATTTGGCTAAGGTAAGAGCAATAATACAGGGGCCTGAGGAAACACCTGCAGGATTTCTAGAAAGGCTATTGGAGGGGTACAGAATGTACACCCCTTTTGATCCCATGGCAGCGGATCGCCAGGCTGATATAATAATGTCTTTTATAAGCCAGTCAGCACCTGATATTCGTAGCAAGCTGCAGAGGATGGAGGGACTGCAGGGTTACTCCCTCCAAGATTTAGTAAAGGAGGCAGAGAGAATTTTTAACAAAAGAGAGACACCAGAGGAAAAGGAAGAAAGAAGGCGCAAGGAACAGGAAGAGAGAGAGGACAAACGAGATAAAAAGCGTAGTCGTGAGTTAAGTAAGATCTTGGCCACAACAGTACGCAGTATAGAGCAACCTAAGAAGCGCCAGGACAAGGATAGGGGAGACAAAAGGCGGCCACGAGTGGACCGAGATCAATGTGCCTATTGCAAAGAAAGAGGACATTGGATCAAGGACTGCCCAAAACGTCCAGCTGAACCCAAGAAAAAGCCAGTTCCTGTCCTAGCCCTGGAAGACAGTGATTAGGACAGTCAGGGCTCAGAGCCCCCCCCTGAGCCCCGGGTAACCCTTCTAGTGGGGGGGCACCCTACCACATTTTTGGTAGATACTGGAGCCCAGCATTCGGTCCTCACACAAGCAAATGGACCTTTGAGTTCAAAAACCTCTTGGGTTCAGGGGGCCACCGGGGGAAAAATATACCGATGGACCACAGAAAGAAAAGTTAATTTAAACACTGGTCAAGTGACTCATTCCTTCCTCATGGTGCCAGAATGCCCCTACCCATTGCTGGGCAGAGACCTCCTGTCCAAAGTTGGGGCACAAATTCACTTCTCAGAAAATGGGGCCTCAGTTACTGACAATACTGGCCAGGCTCTTCAAATTCTAACTTTAAGATTGGAGGACGAACACAGACTGTTTGAACTGCCTCCTCCCCCGGAGCTGCCCATCGATAACAAATGGCTCCGTGATTTCCCCCAGGCCTGGGCGGAAACCGCAGGTATGGGGCTGGCAAGCAATCAACCTCCTTTGATAATAGAGTTAAAACCATCAGCCACTCCAGTTTCCATAAGACAATACCCCATGAGCCGCGAGGCCCGAGAAGGAATCAGGCCCCACATTCAGAGACTTTTAACATTGGGCATCTTAAAGGCCTGCCATTCCCCCTGGAACACACCTCTTCTCCCAGTAAAGAAGCCAGGCACAGGGGACTACAGACCAGTCCAAGACTTAAGGGAAGTTAATCGCCGCACTCTAGACATTCATCCTACGGTGCCCAATCCTTATAATCTCTTAAGTACCCTGCCTCCGACCCATGTATGGTACTCAGTACTTGATTTAAAAGATGCTTTTTTCTGTCTGAGACTTAGCCCTCAGAGCCAGCCATTGTTTGCCTTTGAATGGAAAGATCCTGATTCAGGAGTTTCTGGGCAGCTCACCTGGACGAGACTACCCCAGGGATTCAAGAATTCTCCAACTCTATTTGATGAGGCCCTACACCAGGATCTGGCCAGTTTTCGCACCGCCAATCCAGAGGTAATCTTACTCCAATATGTAGATGACCTCCTGCTGGCCGCAGAGACTGAGCAAAAATGCCTCAGAGGGACTCGAGCCCTACTCACCAGATTAGGTGAACTGGGCTACAGGGCATCTGCTAAAAAGGCACAGATCTGCAAGAAGCAAGTAGCCTACCTGGGGTACCTCTTGGAGGGTGGACAGAGATGGTTAACAGACAGTCGGAAGCAGGCCGTGGCACAAATTCCCCCTCCCAAAGGGGCGCGAGAGGTCCGAGAGTTTCTGGGAACTGCCGGTTTCTGTAGGTTATGGATACCGGGTTTCGCTGAAATGGCCGCCCCACTGTATCCGCTTACCAAAGCCAACGTCCCTTTCTTCTGGGGAGAGGACCAACAACGGGCTTTTGATAAAATAAAAAGGGCCCTCCTTTCGGCCCCTGCTTTGAGTCTCCCTGATGTCACCAAACCATTCACCTTATACGTAGATGAGAACAAGGGAGTAGCAAAAGGGGTGCTGACTCAGAAACTGGGACCCTGGAAAAAACCAGTGGCTTACATCTCCAAAAAGATGGACAATGTGGTGACAGGATGGCCCCCTTGCCTCCGTATGGTAGCAGCTGTAGCTACCCTGGTCAAAGATGCAGACAAATTGACTCTGGGCCAACCGCTGACTATAATAGCACCTCATGCTTTAGAGACTATAATTCGTCAACCCCCTGATAGATGGCTCTCGAATGCCCGTATAACCCACTACCAGTCGTTATTGCTCAACCCTGAACGTATCACATTTGGAAATGCGACGTTACTGAACCCCGCTACCTTGCTCCCCAATTCGGAACCCACTGTTTGGGTACCTCATGACTGTCATCAGATATTGGCAGAATACCACGGGACCAGGGAGGATTTGACTGATTGCCGGCTCCCTGATGCAGATTATACCTGGTTCACAGACGGCAGCAGCTTCTTTAAAGAAGGTGAGCGAAAGGCGGGGGCGGCGGTGGTGGATGGACAAAATACCATATGGGCACAGGCATTGCCCCCAGGAACCTCTGCCCAGAAGGCAGAATTAATAGCCCTGACTAAGGCTTTAGAACTAGCAAAGGGACAAAAAGTAAACATATATACAGACAGCCGTTATGCATTTGCAACGGCCCATGTCCATGGGGAAATTTATAAAAGAAGAGGACTGCTAACTTCTGCTGGAAAAGAAATTAAAAATAAGACTGAAATCCTGGGACTATTAAAGGCCCTCTTCTTACCCAAGAAGGTGAGCATTATTCATTGCCCAGGACATCAGAAGGGCAATGATCCTATTGCCAAAGGAAATCAGATGGCAGATGAGATGGCTAAAAAGGCTGCGCTTAACTCAGAAATATTATCCTTGGCAGAGGCACCACCCTCCACAGAAGATCATTTCCAATATTCAACCCAGGATCTAGAGACTATTCAGAAACTTAATGCAGACTTTGATGAACAACAAAAAGCTTGGAAATATCAGGGCAAAACCATGTTGCCCAAGAAAGATGCTTTTGAACTGGTCACTCAAATGCATCGATGGACTCATTTAGGACATAAAAAGATTAAATCTCTTATAAAAAAGACAGATTTTTATATTCCAGGTCTTAACTCACTCATACAGCAAGTGACATCAACTTGTGTCCCCTGTGCCAAGGTAAACGCAAAACGGCAAAGTGCCCCAGAGGGCATAAGAATAAGGGGAGACCGACCTGGTACTCATTGGGAAGTGGATTTTACTGAAATAAGGCCAGGAAAATATGGTAATAAATATCTCCTAGTTTTTATAGACACCTTCTCCGGTTGGACTGAAGCTTTCCCCACCAAACGAGAAACGGCTCAAATGGTGGTGAAGAAGATACTAGAAGATATTTTTCCTCGGTTTGGCCTGCCTAAGGTAATCGGGTCTGACAACGGCCCAGCCTTTGTCTCCCAGGTAAGTCAGGGTATGGCCAAGACACTGGGGATTAATTGGAAATTACATTGTGCATACAGACCCCAGAGTTCAGGACAGGTAGAAAGGATGAATAGAACCATAAAGGAGACTTTATCCAAATTAGCTTTGGAATCTGGCGTTAGAGACTGGGTACAGCTCCTTCCCCTAGCCCTGTTCCGGGTGCGGAACACCCCTTCTCGGCTTGGACTTACTCCCTATGAGATCCTATATGGGGGGCCTCCCCCATTGGCCTCCTTTAGGGCCCCTCCTGACCCCGCTACTCACAAACCTGATTTGCAGGCGCGGCTAAAAGCACTTCAGATCGTCCAGGCCCAAGTGTGGAGACCCCTAGCTGCTGCCTACCAGCCTGGGCATCCGGAGATCTCGCACCCGTTCCAGGTTGGCGATTCTGTGTACGTGCGGAGACATCGGTCCCAGAACCTTGAACCTCGCTGGAAGGGACCCTACACCGTGCTTCTTACGACACCTACTGCCCTCAAAGTGGACGGTATTGCAGCCTGGATCCACGCGTCTCACGTCAAGCCGGCACCTCCACAGGACGACCCAGAACTTTCCAAATGGAAGCTTCAGCGTACCCAAAATCCTCTAAAACTGAGACTAGTCAAGGAAGCCTGATCCTGTCAAGCTTGCTGTTCTTTGCCCTGGTGTTTCCCTCCACATATAGTGCTAAGAACCCCCATACACCTCAGAACTTAACTTGGACTCTGACTAACTTTGAGACTGGGCAAGTCTTGAGGCTAGCCACTGGAGTTCATCCCCTAGGTACCTGGTTCCCCCAGCTAAAGTTTGACCTATGTGCCCTAGCAAAAGACTCTTGGGGAGATACTGAACGAACTCCCGAGAACTCTTATCCTACATGCAGATATTCTGAATGGTATATTTGTCCTGGGGGAAGACGAACTTGGCAATGTGGGGGGGCTGAAGTATTTTATTGTGCTGCCTGGGGATGTGAAACCAGTGTCAGTACCTCCTGGTTGGGGGCTAGCAAAGAAGACTTAGTCACTTTCACTCGTACCACATCAGGGGAATCTGAAATCACAATCACCTTCACGGAGAAGGGAAAAAAGGTTAGTTGGTTAACAGGCAATATATGGGGTTTACGGTTGTATAATCCAGGAGGGGAAGACATAGGAATTCTGTTCACCCTAAGAATTGTTATAACACCTCCCATGACCATGGCACTAGGGCCCAACCCGGTATTGCCTGACCAGGGACAGCTAGCCCTGGCTGAGGTCCCCCCCCCTTGCCAGGGCCTTGGGTCCCCCTTCAAGTCCTAAAAATCTTCCTGCTACCCCTGCTTCACCGCTGGCACTCTCTAATACAGGCCAGCGATTGTTTAATCTAATAGTGGGAGCTTTTTCTTTGCTGAATAGTACTGACCCCAATATGACAGAATCTTGCTGGCTATGCCTATCAGCAGGACCCCCATACTATGAAGGGATTGCAATATCTGGGGGTTTCAATAACACAACTAGCCAGGAGGGCTGCGCTTGGGGAGTTAGTCATAGACTAACTCTTACAGAGGTTACTGGTGCAGGGACATGCTTGGGAAATCCACCGGCTGCTTACAAACATTTATGTAATGAGACCCTTAAGAGCCCTAAAACTGCTAAAACTGGATACCTGATCCCCGATTCAGATAAATGGTGGGCTTGTAGTACAGGCCTGACGCCTTGCGTGGCAACATCAGTTTTTGATGGTACCAAAGATTACTGTGTGCTTGTTCGACTAGTTCCAAGGGTCATTTATTATCCTGCTAACACATTTGAGGATGAATTTGACAGGCACTCGAGCCGTTATCGGCGAGAGCCCATCTCTATGACTCTAGCAGTGATCTTGGGCCTTGGGGTGGCAGCTGGTGTTGGCACCGGTACTACTGCTCTAGTGCAGAGTTCCAAAATTCCCCAACATTTTGAGGAATTAAGAGCAGCTATTGACCAGGACTTAAGGGCCCTAGAACAATCTATCACCAAGCTTGCAGATTCAATAATCTCTCTTTCCGAGGTAGTGTTACAAAATAGGCGCGGGTTAGACTTGCTATTTCTTCAAGAAGGAGGACTCTGTGCTGCCCTAAAGGAACAATGTTGTTTCTACGTAGACCACTCTGGGGTAATTAAAGATTCGATGGCTAAGCTCAGAGAGAGGTTAGACAAGAGACAGAGAGAGAGAGAGGCACATCAAAATTGGTTTGAAGGCTGGTTTAACCGCTCCCCCTGGTTCACGACACTCATTTCCACCATCACTGGTCCCTTGATCATTCTATTACTCATCCTAACCTTTGGGCCCTGCATCCTCAATCGACTCCTGATGTTCATTCGTGAGCGACTTAGCATTACTCAAGCTTTGGTGTTGACCCAGCAATATCATGCCCTTAGGGATAATCCCTGAGAATCTCAAGATTGAGATTCGACCAAATCAAAGGGGGGAAATGAAAGACTTTGAGACACCTTAGCACTACTGCACCCCCCATCCTGGGAACCAGGCCTCTAGCATTAGGAGGCACCTTAGCACTACTGCACCCCCCTTCCTGGGAACCAGGTCCCTAGTAACCAGCCACGCGTGCACGGGAGCTTTGAGTACTTTCCATCCCCATTGTAGTCTTTCTCCAATAGACCCGGACCCTGGAACTGGGGTGAGACGACCTGCAGGTGTTCCTCCTTGTAACCGCCATAACATTGATCAAGTAGAGTTAGCTGACCATTGTATGAACTAGTCAAAACAGTTGACAAATGATTTTTGGACTTTCCCTTTGATTCTGTACTACCCCCTCCCTGAATTTGTGGTTTTTTCCTTTAAAAGAGCTTGTAATAGACAAAGCAGGGTCCTTCTCCCCTGGAGGCTGAGGGACCTCTGCCATGGCAGAATAAAAATTCCTCTTGCTATTGCATCAACCGTGCTGTGAGTGTCTCTTGGGGCGACCTCCTCCTTGGTGGGGCTTTAGGGCCCAACACAACCACACACATATATACACACAACACACACATATACACACACCCCACACCTATACACAATATATATATATGTATATATATAAATAAACATGAAACAATATATCTGGCCATAATGATTTCAGGCTTAATAATGTAAGTTTGGGCTACATAATAAGATACTGTCTTTTTTTTTAAAAAAAAAAAAGCATAGAGCCAGGCAGTGGTGGCGCATACCTTTAGTCCCAGGACTCTGGGAGACAGAGGCAAATGGCTCTCTCTTTTGAGGCCAGCCTGGTCTACACAGTGAGTTCCAGGACAACTAGAGCTATGTAGTGAAATCCTATCTTGAGAAACCAAAACAAATAGATAAATAAACAAATTAAATAAATAAAAAGACATTGCAATATTGCTCAATTGATAAGAGTTCTTGTCTAGAATATAAAAAGCCTCTCTAAAACAAACAAAAATATTTAAAGGAAACAGTAGCCTTTCCTGGGGCTGTTGTGAAGACTGTATTTTTTTTTTTCCTGAGCTCTCTTGTTGTCCAGGCTAGCTTCAAACTTGACAGATAGCACGGACAGCTAAGTCTAGCCTTGAACTCCCAACCCTTCCGTCTGCACCTCCCAAGTGCTCGGATTACAGGCGTGTGCCACCACACCCAGCTGGTTGCTGTGAATACTAAGTGAGAGGACAGATACACACGGAAAATGCTTGCCTCTTCATGTGTGTCCAAATACAGACGGATTTACTCAGCTGATACATGCCATGCCATGGACAGGACCAGGACAAGAGAAGGGGACACAGAAGCCCCTGCCCTGTGCACGCTACACACCAGCATGGCACTCAGACAACCTGGCATCCTGCAAGAACAAAGCATTGTCAGCCTCAAGTTAGAGACTGCCTGGGCTACAGAGTGAGACCCTGCCTCAAAAACAGAATTACACATTTCAATCGAGAGGGGAAAGTCCAAAGAGCAAGAGGACAACAAGTCTACCGGGTCCAGTCACTGTTCAACCTGCCAGGTGATGACAGGATTAACACAGTGGATTTTTTTCCCTCTTTGAGACAGGAGACTCCTTTAAGTGTGTCATATGCTGAGAAGCTGCAAAGGCTTGACTCTTCCACCTTGCCATCGCACTACCCCCTAAACAGAAACTATGATCCCCAATTTACTGAAGTGGCGTGGAGGGGCAGAAATGGATCCCATCTCCAAGGGTGCAAAGGTTCTGTCAAAGTTCAAAGGTCAGGTGTATGAGAGCAAGCTCCTTGGCAGGCTGGCCCCACACCCTAACCAAAGACAGGGGTGTGCAGTAGATCTCACTGGAAGGGGAAGGGACCAGCAGAGTAGAGTGGATAGAAAGGGCTAGGGACCTAAATATGATCAAAATACACTATATATTCCAGAGCTGTCGTCGAAACGCATTATTATGTGTAACTAATATGTCTTTTTTTTAAAGATTTATTTATTTATTATATGTACACAACATCCCTTCCATGTATGCCTGCAGGCCAGAAGAGGGCACCAGATCTCAGTACAGATGGTTGTGAGCCACCATGTGGTTGCTGGGAATTGAACTCAGGACCTCTGGAAGAATAGTCAGTGCTCTTAACCTCTGAGCCATCTCTCCAGCCCTAACTAATATGTCTTTAAAAAAAAAAAAAACCCTAAAAAAATCCAAAAGTTTTTACTTCCATACTTAGTGTTTTATCACTATACCATTTTTTGTTTTTATAAATTCTGAAATATATACTTTACTTTTCTAAATTACATTTTACTTGGTGTGCGTGTGTGTGTGTGTGTGTGTGTGTGTGTGTGTGTGTAACAGGCTTTCTTTTGGGCCACCAACCACGTCTCCAATCACGGCACAGAGACTTATCATTTGCTGTGAATGCTCGGCCTTAGCTCAGGCTCATTTTCTGCTAGCTCTTAAAACTTAATTTAAGCTGTTTCACTTCATCTGTATTTTGCCTTGGGGCTTCTTACCTGTCTTTCATTCTGTACGTCCTACTTTCACAGCTTCCTCTGTGCCTGAATGTCTTGCGGCTGCCCGACTGGCTGGTGGGGGTGTCTCCCTTTCTTCCTCCCTGTTCTTCTCTCCTTGACCTGAGCCTAGATTCCCCCCCTCTCCCCCAACTTATTCTCTTTGCCCCACAACCGCACCTGTCCCTCCCCTGCCTAGCTTTTTATTAGACCAGTCAGGTACCATAGGCAGGCAGAGCAACACAACTTTACATAATTAAAGAAATGCATAAACACATGGAACACACCTTTTGTCTAGTTAAGGTAGTATCCCACATGTGTGCATGTGTGTAAGTGTTTATGTGTGGGTGTGCATCCATGTATGTGGGTGTGAGTGTGTTTGCATGTGTATGAATGTGAACATGTGTGTGTGTGTGCATGCATGTGTGAACCCTATGGAAGTCCATCCTTCCCTTCCACTGCTTCTGTCCTGGGGATCAAACGTAGGTCTTCAGGCTTGGTAGCCAGTACTTTTACCCTTGAGCTGTCTTTTTGGCCCAAATTTTTCTCTTTTTAAAATATTGAAGACTGGAGAAACAGCTCAAAGATTTAAGAATGCTGTCTGCTCTTCCAGAGGGTCCAGGTTCAGATGCCAGCACTAATATGACATTTGTCACTCAGTCCCACTTACATACCTGTGGGCAAAACACTCATACACACAAAATAAAAATCAATCTATTTCTTAGAAAGTTGAAAGCAGGGTGTGGTGGCGCACGCCTTTAATCCCAGCCCTCAGGAGGCAGAGGCAGGCGGATCTCTGTGAGTTCGAGGCCAGCCTGGTCTACAGAGAGAGTTCCGGACAGTTTGAGATACACGGGGAAACCCTGTTTCATTATCGTTGTGTGTATGTGTGAGTGTCTGAGGACATGACACATGTGGATGAAGAAGCCAGAAGAGGGTCTTAGAGCCCCTGGAGCTGGAGTTATAGGGACATCTAAGCCACCAAGTGTGAGCTGAGAAATAAATCTGTGTCCTCTGAAAGAGCGGCAAACACTCTTACCAGCTGAGCCATCTCTCCAGCCCCCACGCTTCATGTTCTCATACAGTGAGAACAGAAGTCTAACTCACAACAT